GGGGGCGTTTGGGGGTTTCAGGGGCTGACAGGGACCAGGTAGGGCAGGATCAGACTCACCAATATCGTTATGAGAACATCAGTCCTCCCCTGCACTCGGCCACGCTTCCCCCTCCCCCACCCCCTCCCCCCTCACTCCCGCCAGGACCTGACCTCGTACAAGAAAACACGGGACAAGGCGGTGTCCTCGGCGGCTCGGGGCCTCATCGGCCTGTTCAGGGAGCTGGCGCCCTCCATGCTGGAGAAGCGGGACCGCGGGCGCGGCGCCGACCTGGCGGCGGCGCCGCTGCAGTTCGGGCAGACCACCATCGTCGACGGCATCGACGGCCTGGACCTGCTGCGCCGGGCGGAGGCGGAGGGTCGGTTCAACAGCGACGGCGAGCTCGTGTCTGACGAGGATGATGATGATGATGTGCAGGGCGGGACCTCGTCCTCGGAGGGTGAGGAGGAGCTGGAGGAGGGTGAGGAGGAGCTGGAGGAGGGTGAGTCGGCGTCCTCTGACGAAGAGGCCTCGGTTTCGGGGGCAGATGAGGATGATGATGATGACGAGGAGGAGATGGCCTCGGGGTCTGAGGCCTCGGGGTCGGACGCCGAGCTCGAGATGGGGAGCGGCGAGGAGGCCGGCAGCGGCAGCGAGCTCGACGAGGACAGCGAGGGAGAGGAGGAGGCTGCGCCGCCCGCCAAGGTGAGGCGGACGCCGCAGACCGGCAGCCTGACGCAGATGAAGAAGCGGCTGCAGGCCACCAAGGCGGCGGCGGCCGCCGTGGCGACCGAGGCCGCGGAGCCGTGGGCCGACCGCATCCTCACGTCCGAAGACTTTGAGAAGATCCGGCAGCTGCAGCACAAGCGTCTGGTGGACCATGCCATGCAGGTGAGAGCTCGGGGGTCCGGGTGGCCAGGTCGTGTGAAAACAAGCCGAGGGCGCGTGCGATCGATGCTTCCCTTTCCCCGATGCGGCTCGGCCAAGGGGCTCGACCATACCATCGTCTGCGAACATTCAGTGGAGGTCTCCCCATTGACGCAAGCAGTGTGTCCTCACATCCATGCATGCCTCTCATCGCTCCTCACCAAATTTTGCACCCATCCACAGAAGCACGGCCTCAAGTCGGCCAGCAAGCGCGAGAAGGCCATGGCAGCGGCAGAGGACGCCGCGGAAGAGACCATGGCCCTGCGCGAGCAGCTGGGCAGCATGCACGACAGCCGCGTGGCGCCGGACGACCTGCTGGGCATGCACAAGTACAGGAAGGACAAGATGGAGCGCATGGCGACGGTGCTCAAGGGTGCGCACGGGAGTGGCAGCGGGTGCTTGGGGGTGTGGATTCGAGGATCTAGGGTCGATGGGGGCGAGCCCGAGGCGGCGGTTGGCAGGGCTTGGAGGGAGAGCAATGTTTGTGTATCCCCCCGAGGTCCAGTTTGAATGCCCACTCCTACCCCAATGAGCTCCACGCACATCAAGTACCAGCTCCACCCCTGCACCCTCGCTTCCACACCCCACCCATGATCACAGGGCGAGAGGGCCGCGAGTTTGGGGCAAAGGCCTCGCTCAAGAAGGACAAGACGGGCGGGCTGAGCAACCGCGAGAAGGACAAGAGGAAGAACCTGCCCATGGCCGCCCGGTCGGGCCAGGCCAGAAAGCGCATGGAGCGCAACAAGCGGAAGAGCAACAAGAATTTCAGGGGCCACGTCCGCGGTTGAAGCTGGCCAGCTGAGCGGCTGTCTCTGTAATCTGTTTCATGCAACCTTGTAAGATGAGAGCACCAAGTACAGGGTCGGGGTGTCAAATCCAAAGAAATCTGCGCTGGTGGTAAACTCCAGATCCCTTTCCTTAGCCATGAAAAGGGTCCTTTGGGGTCGAATAGGATGCGTGAGAAAGTGGTCGATCAGAGTCTGCAGTGACGAATCACACACGGAGCCAGCGGGTGTAGAACCCAGCGGTTGTCGAATCCACGACCAGGCCCCGGGGAGATCTCGGTTGCAAAACTCCCCTGACACCCTATTTGCCACCCTGTGCTGAACTCCCTCCAGAGCAGGTCCTCAGGTGTAGCCATGACGAGGATGTCAACGTGAGCAGGATGGAGTCCAGGTTTTCAAGTACTGGGTGACAACATGGTGGCTGCTGCAACTTGGGTCGCTGCTTCTGGTGCCACATGCGACCTTTTACCTCCGTCTCGCCTGCTATGATGCTTCTTGTATGCTGTAGACTTTTTGATAGAGCACAAACAGAGTAAGCTCTCAAAGCGCCTGCCGGGAGGATGCCAGCCCCTCACAAAGCACTCTCCATTCATGATAAAGGGGCCATTAATACCCCTTTTTGTATATGACGCCATAAAAAGCATCGCTATACCGCATACCCCTCTGAAACCAAGTTTTGATGCTTTCCGATGGTGGAAGGACGGGCGTCAGATTTAGCAGATGCCAGGCCCCCCTGGGCGACCCCGTAACACCCACGGCCACCAGGGTGAACACGGCCTCCTTGGGAACGTTGGTCTAGGGCACGGTCCGAACCGGTCGCAAGCTGATAGGTATGAATATGACATAAAGACGATGTCGCGAGAAAATGAGAGGATATCTTGGGGAATACCTCAGCTTCATCACAAATGGACAGTGTGACACGATATCTGTGTTCCGGCGAGTCTCGTTGCTAATGTTCAGCGCAGAGTGTATACAAATCATAGAAAAAGCGTTCAGACATCAAGCAGCAGTTGACATCCACCGACGGCAGTTCGAATCTGCCCGGGGCCTAGGTTCGAATCCTATCGGCCGCACTGGCTCCGTAGTGTAGGGGTTATCACTGTGGACTCTGACGCAACGTTTTTGGTTTTCTTTTTCCTGTATTACTTTTCCTTTCTGGTGGTACCCTGTACTCTCGCGTACTATGCCCACCCGGGAAAGGTCGCAAAACACACCTCGAACATTGTTATACAACCCTCTTCCAAAATTATCAACGCTTGTTCGCATTATGAGGCCCCCCTCGTTGGGTCGACGGATTTTCAAACTTTACAGGACCATGCCATGTCCTGTCGGGGTGCGAAAGCGCCGCAGGAGGCAGATTGTTGCGTTGGACTATCTTACCAACAGTGGCGTCTCGAGTAATAGCAGTCTGCACGTACGG